CATATGCAAATGTGATCTCCATAAGTGCTCCCAAAAAGACTACTTCATAAGGCCGTCTTCAAATTTCATCCCGTACATTACCTACGATAGAAAATAACTATCGCTAAGCATAAAGCTTAGTGGCATATAAACTTTAGGCTGGGAGCCATTAACTTCTCCAATTCCCATTTTCAGTCATAGGTAGCTCAAATGAAACATAATTTAAAACAAGTGAACAAATATATCAAAAGTATCAAATATCAACTCTTGAAGTGTTTCCAAATATCAATAACAATGTTCAAGATTCAAGAGTTGAGAAAGCATATACTATCAATCCAAGAGAGTTTGTCAAATATCCATTTTTCGCCCAATGTGTACGTCATGCCATCACACTAAGCAAAATCAGATATCAAGATGGACCGAAACCCCAAGTCAAGTAGGGTCAAAACCCAATAGTCAAGATAATCAAGAACCGTATTAAAAATGGCTTCCTAGTTCGTACTTAACACGGACAAGGTCCATAATTTAAGACGAACTACAAATCCAAAGTCAAGATGGCAAAAGATCCAAATCAAGAGGCATGCCAAGATGAGTGACAAAGTCACTGCCACAAGAAGGACAAAGTCCCAACAAGAATGCAAAATGATCAAACAATCCGTACGAGTGGGCGATTTAGCAAACATCTTACAATACTTGATATAACACAAATACAATGCTATTAATTGAAGACAAGAAAAATAAAATGTCAGGTTATTTCAAACTATTCCAGAAAATAAAAAGACTACAAAGTTTATACACAAACCTTGGTGTTTTACCACAAAACAGTTCAACCGCAACTTGAGGACGTTCGAATCGTCTACGCCATAGACAAACCAAATCAGTCCACTTCCTCAAATACTTCCCCTTAGGTTTTATAGGGGTATATATACCTTAAATACATAATCAAATATCTATATAAGTTCAGTGATTTAACATGTTAAACTAAACATGATATTGGTGAAAATTACCCAAAATGTTTGAAACAAAAATTCTGGACAGTATCACTGTCTCGTATTGTGACTAAGATTTGAAAATGAAAAGGGACAAACTAGACTGTGTGGTCTTTTTTTACAGTTGTAGACATGTTTCTTAGAGTTTAAGAACATCTTGAATCACCCTCATATCCATTTTGTACAAAAGGTTATGCTAAAATTAATAATAGTAATACAGGGAGGGTTTGTAAAACAGAAAATCTGGGCAGCACCTGTGCTGTACTTTATCACCTATTTTTGGGTAAATAAAAGATAAATCAGGTTTTAGTTACTTCATAAGAGTTATAGATCTATGAAATAGATTAAAGTCTCGGATCACTTAAAACGGATCACTATATAAAACGATATGAAGAAAACACTATTAGCTGTCTAGTGTATAAACGGGTTTAGTAACTTACCACAAAAGAGAGGAGCAACTTGAGCTTCACCAAGAACGAACTTTGCTGGTTGGTTTAGTGGAAATTTATGATGGTTTTCATGAAGTATTTCACGTGATAAGAAGGAGAGAGAGAGAGAGAGATAGAGAGAGATAGAGAGAGATGAGGTTTTCTTTGTCATGAAGGACTGAAAATGAGACGAGGTTATGAAAAAGCATGTCACAAAAGAAATATAAAAACTTTGGATAAATATGAAAAATGTGACTGCCCAACCTACTCAATATCTTTAGATAAATACAAAAGGGCGGCAGCCCAAAACCTTAATTATATAATGTATTTAATAACAATTCATCAAAATAATATTAAGTGTTACGCATAGCAACACCATGGAACTTCTTTGTCAATATTAACACAACTTAAAGTAAGGAATTTTTATATATTATAAATTTCACGTTTAGGAAGTACGAAGTAAAATATCTCCTCATTATAAAGATGATCAATCGAGAATGCAAATATTAGTAAAAATTTGGGGTGTTACACACAAGTTCTCATAACCAAAACTACCGAGCTTAAGCTGCGGTCTAACTCTGGCCTCAAGTCTTCCAGACTGGCCCATCACCAAAACACAGAATACACATCTCGAACCTCATTCATGGAATCACAAGCCGGCGAAGCACAGCTGATATCGAGCGCTCACATGCGTACACGAATACGTGGAAGAAATTCAAAAAGTTATGTTTCAAGCTGAATCAATTCCGCACAATAAGGAAAGAAAGATGGGAAATTATCCTAAATGCCCTGTAGCCTCTCGAAGATAAGTATGGACGTCACCATACCGATCCGCAAGACTCTACTAGACACTTGTTCATGATTTGTAGAACCTATAAACCTAAAGCTCTAATACCAATCTGTCACGACCCAAAATCCAACCAGTCGTGATGGCACCTAACCCAACCTGTTAGGTAAGCCAATTAACTACGATCCAATTTAATTAGGTTTATCGAGGAAAATAAATGATAAAATAAATGAACCTTTTTACTTTTTTCAAGGACTAGTAGTACAAATCATGAGCTTCTAAGATTTAAAATTTGCAAAGCTGATATGAAATAAAATATTTCATCTGTTTGAAATATACGTGAAAGGATTAATAATTCAAAAGCTACCAAGAACAAGAGGCAACTATGACCGGATTGCAAAAACATCTTCAACGCCAGCTCCCGCCATACACCGCAACATCAGCATCCAAAATCTGCACACAAGGTGCAGAAGTGTAGTATGAGTACAACCGACCCCATGTACTTAGTAAGTATCTTGTCTAACCTCGTCGAAATAGTGAACAGGATTTTTTTTAGTAAAATGATACACACTGTTATAACCTGTGCAGTATACTAACAATAGAAATAATTATAGAGCATAACAGATAAGGGTACAATGAAACAACTATGCGTGGCAGAAAATATTACTAGGAGAAATCACAATAGCAGATTCATAATTTTCCTAGTGTGAGAAATATATTTAAGATATCGCATCGAGTGGCACGGTAATACCTTTGTGAACTTGTCTCATTCTCACCCAATATATATATATATATATATATATATATATATAGAGAGAGAGAGAGAGAGAGAGAGAGAGAGAGAGAGAGAGATTAAATCAATTAGAACAGCAACACCCTTCGTGCATTTATCTCTTTCTCACCGAACATAGTTATAACAACACCGACTAGGTGGGAGAAATGCCAATAACAAATAAAGAAATAAAGTGGGAGGCACACATGAAGCAACAACGAACAAAGCAGTACATGTGGACCACAGATAGAAGGCATGGATAACACAACAATACTTAGGGTAGAGGACACAGAAAAGACAACGACTACAAGTAATATAGAAAATATAAGTGCACAATAACAGCTCAAGATAAAGGCATGAAAGTATACACAACAAAAAGATATCATAATATAATGTATGTCTCTTGTCCTCGCCTGCATGAAAATACCCTTCGTGCCATGAACATATGATAATATAAAAATAATGGCACGACATCACTCTTCGTACTTTTACTCTCATCCTCACATAATAATATAAATAAAATGGCACGACATTATCCTTTGTGCATATTAATGTATATAAATGGCACGGTATCACCTTTCGTGCTTTATACTTTTCCTCACATGATAATATAACTGAAATGGCACGACATCACCCTTCATACTTTACACTCTCCCTCATATTATAATGTATATGAAATGGCACGGCATCACCCATCGTGCTTTATACTCTTCCTTACCAAGCACATGTATATCATTTACAATCAAGGTAGGAAGCATAAATAACATCAAGAAGAGTGTTTAAACGAATGTTCCAAATTGAACATCAATCACGACTTTCAAGCCAATAACAGTTCGATAAACTTCAAGTACTTTATTATTCCAATATTTCAACAAGTCTCAAAAATGATCTTCAATTCATGTATAGAATTCAAAATCTCATGAAAAACAGTCGTAGAGCCGTATTTGTGATTAAGTAAGATAACGATCGGATTTAGCAAATCAATAATTTTCACAAAAGTCCGTCAGATTTTTAATCAAATTATAATAAGCCAAATCAGGGTTTCTAGCATTTAATGTTATATTCATAGAAATCTAGAAGTCAAAGAAGACATGAAACAAGAGTGTCACATAATTCTACA